TATTTGGATTATTATTCATTAAAAGCAGAAGTATAGTGTTAATTCCATCTGTAGCTCCATTACAAAGATAAATATTATTTGCATCTGATGGATAATCATCTCGTTGTTGAATATAACTTGCAATATCTTCACGTACTGTTACAATACCTTGAGTTTCACTGTATGAACCAAGATTTTTTCCGCCACATGCAGACAATAAACGTTCAACTTTTTGCTTGATATCTAATGGGAAATTTGGTGATTCCATCAATTCTGGATAAGTACAACCAGCTACGAACTATAAAAAATAAATTATTATTTGAAAAACAAATCTCAACACGAACTTGTCGAATATATGTTATAGATATTTGATTACCACTAGCATAAAAATCATCAATATTAGTTCGAATCACACGATCAAATGGGAAGTTATGATTACCCTAAAAAAAAACATCAATAATAATAGTCTATCAAAAAAGTTATTAAAACCGATTTGATTTTTTGTACAATTTCATCAGCGTGAATAGTGATTGGATTTCGGACAAGATATTCAACATCAAATATACGTGGATTTAAATTTTCTATTGTTAAAGTTTTATTATGACCCAGTCTAGTATATTTTATAGTGCTTTAATCAATAGTGAATAGTAATTTCCATTGAAGTAAAAAGAAAAATGCTTTGCTTATTATTTATATTGGCTTCATTTCTTTCTCGATAACCTTTATTCATATAGTAGTATAATGCTTTATTTGTGCTATAAGCGAACATCGCTCCTGTAGCGTGACAAAAAAACCAACTTGAAAGAAAAAAAAACAATTGATCTGTATCAGCTGACGAAGAAAGAAATAGGAAGATAAGAAAAAAGAATAAAAAGAAAAAAAAAGAAAAAGGGAAGCTTGAGATAACATCTATCAAAATATATACGTGATGTGGCTAGAGAGTGGACGAAAGGAAAATTACATCAACGATAACACAAAATATGATCGAGCAGAGATAAACGATCTTCAGATAATAGTTTGCGAATGTTTTTGCATATTCTTCCTTTCTCAAAGATTTTTCTTCTTTCCATTACTAATGTTGGATTTGAAAGATATTCATGTAAATATAGAATTGATAATTTGTGTTGTAAAAAATCTTCAATCACACTTGGATTTTTTTTCGAGTATTGTATAAATTAATTTATCCCAATGTGTGTATGTTAATTTTGAGATGGATTTATATTTAGGCAAGTTTTCAATTTCAATATATCTAGCATCGAACCATTGGTGTATTGTTCTAAAGATTTTACGATTTAAACCTTCGAGCTGCTTCTGTTTGGCTAACGTAAGAATCGGATAAATGTTGAATATTGATTGAAGATAAGGTCTAATAAAAGTCTTGCATAGAAGATAATTTACTTGTTCACTTGTCAACCGACTAGAAGCTAAACGTTTGAATATATTCATATTAGTACGAATTTTTGTTTTAATATAGTCAATGTTTTCTGTAAATGATAATTTAGAATCTAATATTGTACCAAGATATTTGAATTTCTTGACATGTTCGATGTTGTGACCTTCGCATGTAATTTTTGCAATTTGTGAAACGACTTGACGATGGAAGAGGGTCCAATACGTTTTACTAAAATTTATTGGTTGTTTCCATTTGATTGAGTAGTTGATCAGGCGACTAAGTACTTGTTTTATTTGATCAGTTAAGGCATTTATCATATTTGATGAAAACATTGATGACGATGGTGAGAATAAAACCGCAAGGTCATCTGCAAATAAATGCTTCCAATGAATAGTTGATAATGCTTCAAGGATATTATGATGGTAAATTATGAATAGCACTGGTCCAATACAGCTGCCATGAGAAACTCATTTGGACAGATGAAACATGGACGACGACGTATTTTTTATGTCGATGAATGCTTTTCTTCCTTTTAAATAATGACGAAGTCATGAGATTATATATAGTGGACATTGTAAATTAGTTAGTTTTAACCATAGGTCATTGAACCAAAGTTGATTGAAGGCGGGGTACGAAAGTCTACAAAGAGTGCAGCAACTGCAATGTTCTTTGATAGACTTTGACCTATTTGATCTATAATAGCCACTAATCGAACAGCTATATTGTGACCAGGTCGAAAACCACTTTGTACAGCAGGAAGAATACTCTGTTCATGTATCCATTTACGAAAGTGCATCAGAAACATTTTTCAAATAATTTAGAAAAGCAAGGTAATAATGAGATGGATCTTGTTTCTTCAATAGAAATAACTTTTGATTTTGTTTTCGACAGAAGAATCATTTTAGCAACGTACCAGTGTGGCGGTGTTTGTAAGGTAATTGCAAAGTTGTTCAAGCATGAAAGAATTATCGTAAGATGATTTGAAGGACGTAATTTAATTATACGATTTGATACACCATCCATGCCGGTGGAATTTTTATTTTTTAAAGAGGCAATGGTTCGACGAAGATGATGGTAGGTGATGTTGATGGGAATAGGTGGTTTATTTTTCAAGACTTCATCGAGTTCGACATCAACATTATTTGCTTCAATTTCAATTTCCGACTGTTTATTTTGATGACTAGAAAATTGTTCTTCATAATACGTTCTGGCAATCGTGCACATTTCCACTGGTGAAGAAACGATGTTGTTATTGGCGAGGAAACCATCGATTGGAGCAGATCTAGAGATGAAATGACGTTTTGCCTTTTTCCAAAAGGCTGATGTATCACAATCGTTTAACGAATTACAATAGTTCAACCACGACTTCCTTTTGTGAAGAAAAAGCTGCTTGTGTATCATTTTTGTTATATCACGTAAAGCAACAGCAAAATAAGGATGACGAGTTTGACGAAATAATTTGAGATAATGACGTTTTTGTTTAATCATAAATACTATATCTTGAGGTAAAGATGGCTTGATTGTTTTTCGGAAGGAGATGAAAGTAAGACGTGATATACATAGCGCCAGAAAACGTTCATATAATGAGAAGAAGGCTGGTGAGTATGACATTGAAGCGGCTAACGACTGCCAATATGTTGCTGTAAACGTAAGAAATATTTCGAGTAGGTTCCAACGAGTGCGCTTGATTGGGGAGCGATGATGAGTGAAGGATATTTTAAATGACGAATGCCATAGAACAGGATGATGATCATTTCCTATACTTGAAAGAACCGAGAAGGTGGTAGTCGACATATGTGATGGTGCGATAATTAAATCAATTGTTGCATTTGAACGAGTTGAGGTAGATATGTATTTGTTAATAATTTTCAGAGATGAATGTATTTGTGAAGAAGATAACCAGTTCAATAAAGCTCGTCCTTTTTGATTATCTGCAGATTTTGACTATGAATTGTGCTTAGCGTTAAAATCATCGGTAAAGATTGAATTTGGATTACGTTGAAGTAAACGATTAAATGTATCAAGATGAATTGATTCAGTAGGTGGACAATAACATGTGATTAATTGAAACATATCTGCATCTGATCCAATTTCAAGTACGATTAAATTACATAGATTGTCAAATTCAGCCACAAGTTGAGAACGAATTGATTTATGCACCGCAATTAACATCCCACCAAACATATTTGTTCCTTTCATGGAAAAGACATTAAAGTTGAAGAAATGTGACGTAAATTGTTTAATCGAATTATCATCATGATGCGTACCATTTAATACAACAATTGGCGGTGATGTGGAATCAATTAATTTAAATACATCGCCGAGATACTTGTTCAGACTAGAAAGATTTAAACGAAGAGGAGAAATATTTTGTTTTACCTTCATCAGAGAAAAATTTTTATCACGATGATTTGTCCAATTTTCAAGTAAAAGATCAAGTATGGGAGTATCAGTCCATTCACACAATAAATCTTGAAAGATGTTTTCTTCAGCTTTTGTTAATTGATCAGTTTTGATAGAATAAAATCTCTTTTGATTTGGTTTAAAAGTCATTGCTGATGGATTCATTTGATGAAGAATTTGGTAATATGGCATTAGATCGTGTATCAAAAGCAATTGATTTAGTTACCTCTTTGAAACCTTGTTTGAATTGAATAAATAATGGCCGTAGCCGATCTTTTTCTGCTTGTTTGCTCTTCCAAGGAATACATTGCTCAGTTCACAAACAAATGGACAGAACTTGTTCATAATAAATTCTTTCATTGAATAAATTTCTTTTTGACATGAGTTGATGTGTTGATACATATTATTTAAGCTTGAATTTATCTTCACTTGTTCAGTTGAAAAATGTTCAATTTTAATCGTAAGTAAATCGATTTTCTTCGAAAGGTCCAAGATCGCACTTGCATCAGTAATTTTTTGAACATTATTAATTGTACTGGATGGATAAATAGGTGTATTACATTTTGGTTGATTTGTTGTCCAAACGGAAGAAGAAAGATTTTCTTGTTTTGATTTGTTGTTTGTGGTCGTGGAGATGCTACTTTGATATCTTCTTCTTTCTTCTATTTTTATTGGATAATTTGGATTGCCCGCCATGTGGTCTTGATGACAGTTTGCACAGCAAATTTTGTTAGTACAATCTGGATTATATGGATGATTTTGACCACAACGAAAGCAAGTGGAATTGTCCTTGTGTGGACAATTAGCTACAATATGATCGTTGTATTGTTGACAATTAAAGCATCTTAATATTAGGAGTGGCGGTGAATACGGTTGGATCATGAATGACGTATTATTATCATCTACTAATAGTTTTTTATTCTTGATAATTTTGTTAAGTTCTTGATTGGATGAAAAATCAATTCCTACTTTTGAAATTGGTATACCACCTTTAATATAAAGACGTTCAACTTTGATAATTGTCGGGTATTGCTTTTTGGTATCTAATTCGAATTCTAATAAATTCCATTGAGCGGGAACATCTAATGCTAAAATAGAATAAGAAGAAGGAACTTTAGATGGAAAATCAATAGAATAATCAACAGAACAAATCTGTATTGGCCAAATATTTTTATCCATTAATCGATCAAATTGTTCACTGGAGCTTGCGTATAACAGAAAACTTTTATTACGTCCCATTTTTGAATAACGATCATAAGAAAGGCTGATGCGGTACTGCTTGTTGATGTCTTTGATAATTGATAGTTCAAATGGTGTATCATCGGCAGCTAAAGTAATGCGAAATGGTGGAAAAGACGGTCGTGGAGATGTTGAATTCGTGACATTTGCTGTGCAGCTAGATGTCGTTGAGTTTAAGCGAGAATCACTGCTGTTGAAGTATTGGTTCTGTACATTGACCAAACGATGTTCGAGTTCGAATGAGTCATCACCTTCTTTTGATCTTTTTGATACATTCCGTTTTGATTGTTCTTTGTGTGCTGTTAATGAATTGATTCTTCAATCAGGTTGTTCATCCTGATCGCCAATCATGGTACTAATTTGATGAGGCTTATTGCCTCGATCGCTCATCATCATCATAAAAATAAGGATGAGTCGCTCCCTCGTAGTATCAAGAGAGTTCGTGTACTCTGAACAGGAAAGAAAGAAAATGTGTCTATACTGGACTACGACAAAAGGATGAATGATAACCTGTATTCATATTTGCACTTAACAGTTGTTCGAACAATCAACAAAGAAAAATAAACACAATTATCAAATACTTTTTCATAAATAACAGTTATCATCACAAGTATTTATGATACCTTACTTCAAATCGGTATTTGACGTTAGATGTTTTATGCTTCTTTTCTTGCTCACAATGTAAAGAAACCGGTTTATTCAAATCTTATTATTCCAACGAAAATATAGCGGCATACATACTTATTTTCGTTTCAAATAATAACTGAAATAAAGAAAACAAGAAAAATATTTTTATTTCAAACAGCATATTTAACTTCTACAATCAATGACCTAATTTTTCCCATAGAGAAAATTGAATGTTGTTTGCGTTCCATTATTGACATCTAAGGAGAAATCTAGTGGCAAAACAAAATAACATACATCATACTGAAGTAGTATACTTTCTATAATGCTGTTCTTTCGCCATGAATTATGCTGACTATAACTCTGGATATTTTAATTTAGTTTATTGTTCTTGTACTTGTAGAAGACACTTGACCTGTCAAACCTTATATTTTTGACAGATAAAGTACATTCATTATTGTTGAATCGATGGTGTGGGTGTAAGTCTCTTCTTGAAACGCACCCACACTCTTTCCTAAAAATCTTCATTTTATCGATAGATTGATGCCAATAATTTCGGGTACAACTAAAATAAAAAATCTGGAGAAGAACATCGATGTGACATAGATTCAATTGACTGATGAAGAAATCAACAATATTCGAGAAGCCTGTGAGCAAGCTGATGCCGTCGACAAGCATTATCCAAAAGAACTCTCGGCCTCTTTATTTGTCGATTTAGAACCAAAATAAAAGCAGATCAATTCTACTTCGTCTAAACAAGCAAATTAAGACCTCATATAACGAAATTCTTTTCATTTTTTTTCAATAAACTTCTGATATAAAAGTTTTTGCTTATTGTATAGTAGAACTGCACGATATATACATATTGAATAGATCAACAATATTCGCATACCATATAAAGAAAGTGATTTAACTGTAGAAATATGTCATTCCTTAACTAATGGACAAATCAGAAAATTACTAGAGAAAAGAAATACCAATACGGACGAACACAATATGTATATGGTGCCCTTAGAAACGACAACTATAGCATTTACTTTTCATTCATTCACTACATGTCTATTCTATGATTTACTTCATACAATAATCGACCATCGAGATCAATAAACTTATCATGACTATAAAAATCTTTCCTAGCCCATTTCAAGTATTCGCAAATTCAAAATTAAACCTACATGACTGTATTTCGTAAAAGAATAATGTTTGAGGCTGCTATCTCTATGTAACATAGCGAGACACCAGCAAAAATAACTCAAGACTTCTATAAGAGCCATCACCTAGTGTTCACGTACATAAGAAAATGATATTTTTCTTCTTCTTATCATACAAGTATGCTCTATGGTCCCAATCAGTTCGATGAAGTCTAACATAGAATTCTATATCGACTTAAATCCTACTAGAACTGCACAGCTCACGCTCATATGAGTGCTCATGAACGTGAGTTGTACATTTCCTCAGTCCTGCATACGGGTTCATGTTCGACACTACACTATTTTTATGCTCGCAAAGTGTACTTGTACGTTCTATTCTCGTCAAGCAATGAAGTTATATGAAGAATTTATTAAAAAAAGAAGGAAAAACAGTTATTCTATCTTTTTGTAGGATAAAAATGACTTTTCCATGAACAAGAAAAGAGTTTAAGTGAGAAATAAATTTGTGTTTCCTGTATTAAAGATAGATAGTGTTATTTTTTTATAGAAAAGTGTACTTCATAGGTACGACTGTTAGGCTCAAAATATAAAATAGCAGATGTTATGCATGTTTAACTATTGTATAGGACACCTGCTGCTAGAAACATTGAATGGATGTTCCGAAATCATTGACTTTGTGTGGATAGTGACATCTTTTGATTTTTGAATGTTTAAATACTGTGTGAAGGTTTGAAAATTTTATTTTGTCAATGGGTTCTACAGTTTTAGCTGCTTTTGAATGAATATACTTTTGGTAAACAAGGGAAATATTCAAGCATACTATAGGTCGCGATAGGTATACAATACTTTTTTTCTTTTCTTGGTTGGTTATATCTGACGTTTGGTTCGTCGCCGAGATAGCTTCCAATTGATAAGTAGATAAGCAAAACGAAGAAAGTATATATACCTTCATTTCTTAAGTGTAGTAAATTTATCACAACATCATGGTTCTCTATCAAGAATTTTGTCTAATATGGTCTTCGCTCGAACTTTTTATGGCTATTTCACATATTTTCGTCTTCTTAGGTAACATCACATTCTATTTATTGTAGTTATTTTAAAAATAGTCAGGTTCTTTTATACGATACATGCATTTGTTATTCAATCAGCAATAGCAGAGAATGCAGTTGAGGATGTGTGTATTGTTTAGAAGCATCCATATTCATTTAATCGAACTTCAATGCATTTTCCTTAAACAATAGTTCTCTACTTAGGTATTCGCAATTCCAAATTGGGCTTTTTACGTCGTCAACATAATTACTTTTTGTTAGATGCATTCACTCATTTGATTAATTTACTACTCTACTCATCAAAAACTATTAGTATACCACTTCGTATCATATGGTTTTATGCACTTCTTGTTCATTTATATTATTATAGAAATTTGAAAACTAATCCCCCTCCGCGTCGTAATCCAAATGGGCAAAAAGTACAAGAAGATAATGCACATAAAATTTCACGTATATTTCATTGGTCTTGTATCGAGTACGAACCAAACCGATTTAGCATATTTGAATCTGGTAAAGAGATGTTTGAGACAACAGTTGATGTCATAGCTCATAGCATGGGCTTTTTTCTTACTTTTCGTATGATTGAATCAAGTTGGTATAAAATAGGAGCCTTAACACTTATGTTTGGTGTACTTTATCAACGTATGATTGGTTTGAAATTTTTTTTTACTGAACCCAAAATGATGCCATCACCATTACAAAGATTATTTGCCACTATGCCTGCCAGACCCATAGCAGATTAATATTTTGGTTTTGTTTGAAATCAAATAATTGACATTATTCTTTCAGCTTCATTTTTATTCAACTATTTGAAAGTAAAAAAAAATTAACATTGATTTTGCACAGTCTTCAATTTTCTATATTTATAAATAAAGTTCATATCAGGATGAAGAACTTGTTTTTGTATTAATAGCAACAAGCTAGTTCCATAAATAAGAAAATATTCTGTTTTGATCTTGTACTGAAATCTTACCGTCAATAGTCTACTAAATAGTTTTAATTCATCTGTCCATTATTGAAAAATTGAGTCAATCGACTAGGTTCCAGACTTGATCAAGTTTGTGAACGATTCGATGAATGTTACTCTGAAAGTCAGAACTAATTATAACTTAGGTGTTACAAAATCATCGTCAATATTGCCTAAGAAAGGTGATGTGTGTACTAGTCATCAAATACAAATCATCGAAAAACATGTTGGATCTGACTGACTTGAAGGATACGTGGCGTTAATCAACTAAAGTCTTGAGTTTTATCTACATCGTCAAGGTATTTTCGGCCTATTTTGATATTACACATTAATGCTCTTATCTTCACATCATGAAGTTACAAGTTTGGCTTGAACAAATAGCATGTGACACAGATCTTTAATATTTTCTAACGTTTAGTTGATAACACTTCAACTAAGTGCTTCTTTTTATTTGCAAAACAGTTTTTCTTTCTTCTCTTATATAAAGATAAAGAGTGCAGTAGAAGAAATTTTCAATGCTTCTAGACTAAAGTCAACCCAGGTTAATACGAACGGTCCGTACTAAGTTTATAAACTACATCAATTTATAGATTAGATAATACTTTGTTTTCTTCATTAAAAATAAACGCACTTATGACAACTGAAGTGAAAATGCTATAGTATATGTTTCTATTAAATGTCATTAATAACAGTGCCATATACATAACGACAACAAAAAATCAAACGCTGGAATAAAGTTTTAGGCTTAAATAGAAATACATCAATTACACACCATAAGTTGTAAAAACTTAACAGCTTTTACTTTCTAATACTATAGTGGCACATAACTGTCTAGACAAGTATGTATAAATATTTGTAAAGCTCTTTTTTTTTCATGTAAAACTATTTGATTGAGTTTGTTCACTTATATTTAATACAATCAATCTATTACGTTCAAATACGATTGTTACTAACCATGAACGTAAGCAATTCTCGTATGCGATCATTATATACAGTTGTGTATAATCGAAACTTAGTCAGTAGTTGAGATGATCCTCGGTATCAAAATTTAATTTTCAATTTAAACATTAGAGCCAATGATCAGTATCAATTAATAAAATAGACCACATTTTTTTATTTAGAACTCTCTGAGTATCAAGTTTAATGGTATGTATTTATTTCAACTATTAAACAATACTTTTTTTTTTCTTTACATTTATATTCACGACAGTTTCAGGAAGGTATCATTTCAAAAAAGGAAATTTAGAAAAAATAAATAAGAGTCAATAATTTTTTGTTGCATTTAGATCTATCTATACAGCAACTTTTAGTATAAGTATTTATATGAATAAATGGATCTTTATTTAGATTTGTGTCAGCAATAAGTTCTAGATAGGCATTCATTTGAATAAATAAATTAGTTTGTTTATTTAAATTTTTCTAACGACATATCCAATCGTAAATATTTATTTAAAAAAGTAAGCAGTAATTTTTTAGTAAGATTTGTCTGTACAACAAGTTCTGGGGTGAGTACTTAATTTTTTAAATAAATAAGTTTAAAAGAAAGTATCCATATATAAAAATTTAATTTCTTCTTATGTAAACTTGTATCAACTATCAGCCAAATTGCAATTATTTATTTAAAAAAAAAGCAGCATTGTTTTGGCAGAAGTATTGTTTTATTTTTTAAATAAATAGCATGCTCGTCCTTGAAGGATTGAAATAAAAAAAGGTCGTAAACGGGTATATTATCTGTACAGTCAAGGAAACTGGCCAAATATGATCCATGTACGATACTGATACTACGGTAAATGCATCGTTTTTACGACATTTACGGTTCGTTTTCGGATCGTAAACGATACCGTTTTGATTGACCTCAGTAAACAACATCGTACCTTTATTTTAGAATAAAACTCAACATTTTCATCAAAAAATTTTATTGATACACGCTTCTTTGTTTATTAATAGTGAACAAGTACGACGAGACAAAGAATCGACACTACTCAACAGCTCACTGTTTTTTGGCACAAGCTGTACAACTCGTGCAGTCTGTTTGCGCAACAATCGATAGTTTTGAACCCTGTCTCGTCTCATACATGAAATGATGGCATCTCAAACGTATTCATCTAGGATGTTTAAATATGGACTATTTCGTGATCATTTTTTGAAGTCGATAAAATCAATAAAGTGCTGTTGATACTAAGCTTTAGAAACGTTGTTTGTAAGAGGACGGTCATTGTCTTGTTAAAAAATGACATTGTCATTCACTATTTGTTTTGTTTAAATTATTTTGTATTATTCAAAAAACAGTCAACTTTGCGACACTATCATAGGGTACTACAAGAGATATCATGATTTGCACTGAGGTGCTTCGTTTTTGTTTTTGTGATATACATTCGTTAGACACTAGCTCCCGGACAGTTGCACTACAACCATCTGTGTTATATGAAAAATTCGAGATAAATTTTGACGAGTTACAGATTATTCTAAGCTAAGAACTAGCTAAAACAGTTATAAATCAGCATAAAATTCGAAAAGTAATGAGAAATTCACGAGTCAATTCGGAAATTATTATCAATCTCACTCAATGTTCATCATAGTATGAATGAGTAGAAGTATGATAAGAGTGTGAGTTTTCTCTCAACCCATACTTACATCTACACTCACTCCAACTGCCATCCATATCCCATACCTCCCTTCACCCTTTTTAGCTCAGCGTCTTTGAGTCTGAAATGTGGAACTCAATATCTTCTTTAGCGTTACTAAACCAATACAAAATACTTACAATAAAAATTCTACTGTAGACTAAAGTTGCTTTCAAAGATAATCGATCAGTAGAAAAAGAATTTGTCGAATCATTGTTTGCATTTTGAACAGAGCTTTTTCTTTGTTTTAGGAACACTCCATTTTAGTTTGCATTGTTCCTATTCGCTCTTTATTTTTCAGTTTCTCATTTCATTTTCTTTATTTAACATTTTTATTATTAATATTGAATTAAATCGGAAATAAGGCTTTTATAAATATGCGTTATATCTACAGCAGCACATTTTGAGCCAGTTCTATTAATTTCAATCAATTCACATATCCTGATATTGTTATTTTCCAAAGTTATAACTTGATCAATTTATGTTGTTTATTTTAATCATATGCCAAAACTATGGAAAATTAATGCGTCAATATCAATCGTCGGTGATATCTGGAATATGAAGTTTTATATACGTAAAACTCAAAAACTTCACTATTGAGAAAATTCACAACACTATTCTAACCGTTCGAACTTCAACGAGAAAAGTCTAAGTGTTCTCGTTAATGTCGTTCAGAGATTTTTTCGGTTGCTAAGAAACTCTGAGAAAGGAATGTGGCATTGGTTGTCCTCGATTTCTAAAGTCTGTAATGACGAGCGGGGAAAGTACAATGGGAAGGGAAAGTTGCAAAACTTCGACTTAATATTTAGACCGACTATTTTCTTCGAAAGTATATGTGGATTCCTAAAAAATAAGATTTGCCTTTGAAACGAAAACTATCGTTCAAGTTATATAACAAAGACTAACTCGAACCGAGTTTGACTGATTCGGGTTCAGCTTGGTTCGTTTTCGATTTGTGTGATATAAAATGTTTCTCATGAAATATTTGTATTTCTGACGACTGACGCTTTGAAGGAGACTTTTCTTATTTAACTCGTCTTGTCTTGCGTATATTTCTTAATTTGTTTTTTAAAAAAAAAAGAAATAATAACATGACAATGATAAAAGAACAGAAAAAAAGTTCATTATTTTAATCTACGAAGAACTTTGTCTAATAGAGACTTCACTCAAACTTTCTATCGCTATGACGCATCGAGGTTGGTGTGGGCGTTGTCTCAAGATATATCTGTATGAATGTTCACATTGAACATCCAGTGATACGTACATCCATACCCACCATTACATCGACACTCATCATTCACATGATTATTTCGGTACTCTATTCAATATAAGCTGTTGTTGTACCACTTTATATATTATGAGTTATTACGATTTTGGCTCAGATATATTATTATACAAGCTTAAGAATTGATCGTTGACCACGATGCAATTTAGGTATTAATGAGCTATTCTTGTGTATTGATATGAATTATATTACATAATAATTAATCTAATATAAAAAAAACATTGAATAATCTGACAGTAAAGAAACCATTCAAAATACTATGTCATTTCATTTGATTTATCAAGACTGTCATGAATCATTCGATATTTATTTAAAGTCATTTTTACAGAAGTATGTGTCAACTCTCCTTTATTTTTAAAAATACATATTGGAAAAAAGAAAATGTCTTTACAACCGTTTTTTCTAACATAAACAATATTGAAAACAATTTGATGATACTGAACAATGTCCTGATGCATGGCCTGCTTTAATACATAAATTCTTGCAATCATCATTCTCTTTATGTGTTACTTCATTTGCATTATCAACTTGCGTGCATTTTGAATGTTCATTGTGTAAACACGTATTAGCAAATACAGTCGATTTTTGTAATATTAATAAGAAAGTAAAGCAGAGTATTAAAAAAGGAATCAATCGATTCATTATTTTATCGTATATATATATCTAAAAACCAAAGATCAAGTAAAACAGCAAACAAGAAAATATTCTTTAATCAAACTATTAGCTTCTTACTATAAATACAAGCTTTTATCGAATTCAAACTACGCTTATATATACGTTCGTTATCAATTTCAAAAATTATCAAATGGCCTTCTGAATAAACAGAGATCAAAAAGAAAATGCGCACATGTCATATCTATCATAGAAAAAAAGAATACAACGAGTGCAAATCGATAATAAACGTGACCAAGTTTAAAAAATTGAGAAATGAAATCTAATCTTTACTTTTTTTTAATTGATTCAAATAATGAACTGACTTCAGAATAAAAAAGAAAGAACTGTAGTACAGCAAAAATTCCGTAGTATATAGACGCTTTTAGTATTTATCTTAACCGCAGAGGTTCGGTCGGTTTACAAACTATTTGAGAATCGCTACGCACTTAACCAACAAAACATTAACTAAACCCCTCCCCATAATAGAAGCCCCTCCCATATTAGAAGCCCCCCCCCCTTATTAGAAGCCCCCTCTGAGATGAACAACGTGTTTGACGTATTAGAAGCCCCCCTAATTTTTCGAAAAAATTTTAAAATTTTCAAGATTTTTTTTTCACATTTTCATGCTAAACTGCTAAAATTTTTCGATTTTCAGGTAAAAAGTTGGCTGACTCTTATCAAGCTTAGCTAACATCTGAAAATAATGTAAAAAATCTTCTGGAAAACTCATAAAAACCTTGAAAGTCGCTAAAAACCCTTGCGAACCCTTTTCCTGGCAGTTTACGAAATTTGTTTGAGACTTAATAGAAGCCCCCTCCAGAAGCTTCATATGATAGACATATTAGAAGCCCCCCGGGGGCTTCTAATATGGGGAGGGGTTTAATCAAATATAAAACCGATTAATGTGATAGTTTTCCATTGAATACTTTAACATAGCATGCTGTGAAGAAAAAAAACAAATGAAAAAGTTAAATACTGTCTATTCGCTCATTTGACGTATTTAAAAAGTGTTGATGTTTATCGTTTATCTTTAGAAGGTACTGTTTGGATAAAAAAAAATATTCGTCTATACTAATCACAAAATAAAGCTGTTTACGTTAAAAAAACTGTTGTTCATATATTTTCTATAAATGTATCTGTAACTAATCAAAAAAATGGTATAATTACGAATAAAAAGTTACGATTAAATGAACTGTTCTTTCAAACAAAACGAAATGATCAAATTCCATTTGCACCATACATTTATATATCTAGTCTGTATAAAACCTACATTTATCATTGTTTATCTCAATTGTTATCATCAAATATTATTTCCTAATGCTTTTAATAATCAAGATCAATTAAATGAATTATTCAATAATAATTGAAACAATAACAAGAACATTTCGCCAGGCTTTGTTACTAGATTATACTGAATACATAAAGTCTCAAAATAATGAACTGTTTTAACTTTACAGTCAGAAGAAATGATATTTAATTAACCTCGAGCAAACAAAGATGGAATTGAATCAGAACTACCAACATGAAGAATGAAACTTATTTGTAATCCATCAATTACTGTTCCGTATGTTGATAGAGAATCAAAAGAATGTCGATCTCATAGTAAACTTATTCAATGGTATGATTGTGAAATATTAGCTCAATTAATTGATACATTACTTCGTTTCGAACAATTTTGTTTTTTGACCAACTTTAATCATCGATTTATTCTTATCATTATTTCTAACAATTAACTATGTATTCATAATTAAGAGAATACCTTTTATATTTACGTAAGAAAAGTAAATATAGATCTGAATGTAGTATTTTATAGCAGCTCTCGAAACCAGGCGTCTAGTTGAGGATCAGGATCGGTCCCACTCAAAATGACATCATTAAATGTATATTTCTTTCACAAAAAAGGATTGCTATGTAATGGAATTTGACGATCACTGCAGTCATTTATCAGAAAATTGTAAGAAGTTTATTATCGGAATGATCATGAGTTGAATAAGATGTGAAACGCAATGTAACTTTTGTTGCTAATGAATTGCAATATCTTTATTCTATCTATTTTCGCATACATTGTTTCATCATCATTTATTTAATCTTTAAGGACTGTATTGGGAAAGTAGGATGTAGGTGTAGTGGTGCGTATGGATGCAGATGTTGGTGGATGTTTGATGTAGGCATTCATACAGATATATCTCGAGACAACACCCATACCCTAATTTGAACAAACGGTGGGTACAGCTGATTTCGGTATCCTTTCAGGAAAAAAATGCATATCCCTGGTGCGTGAATCATCATACGTAGGAGTATCGTTTTAAAAGTTTATGAACACGACAGTCTTAATCGGAATTGAATAAGTATTTATGGCTAATTGAGAAAAATTCTCCCAATCATTCTATTGTGAATTTCTTTAGGTTTTCCTTTGTCTGTTTAATATTATCTTGATATTTTTCAATATATAAACGATTCGGTGATACCATTTGTAATTCAATTCGATGTGCATTTTCATAAAACTCCAGCGCTTGTTCATAACTGTTCATTTTATTGAAAATATTTCCAATTATATAATATGTTAATGAAGTGAATTTTTTAGTTTGTGAAACATTACTAGATGAGATATCAATTAGATTATTTTTATTATAATAAATTTGATCAAGAATTTCATAAATATTTTCAAGATTGGTATCGTCAGCAGGCAAAAACTTCAATCCTATTTCAATTGCTTTTTCATAATTTTCGAGTGATTTATTATAATCTTTCTTTGTGAAATACATTGCGCCTGCATCACTGTATAATGTTATGAGATTTTCATAATCATTTGATAAATGTTCAGAAGCTATTTTAAGTGCCATTTCATTCATTTTGAATGCCTCAACAAATTCTGACAATTGATAATATGTCATACTAAGATTTTGATAATTAACTACTAAATCGGAATAATTAGATTGTAATGTTGTTAAACGAATATCCAGTTCTTTACGATAATATTCTAATTTTTTCTAATAATTTTGTTCGATGTCACAAATTCAAGCAATATGATGATATGTTACAGCAAGTTGCGAATGGTTTGATCCAAGTACTACTCAATATCAAGCGTTTGTTGAAAATTAGCAACAGCTAATTCATAATGTTATAGATAATAATGTATCATTCCTATGGTGTGATAAGTTTTTGATAATTCTAAACGATTTTCATATGATATCTCTTTCATAATATCAATCTTTTCTGAATAAGCATTTAGAGCATCTAGAAAATGATTCTGTTTTAAATGTATATCAGCTATGATATCATATGATGCGATAGATGATTCATAATCTTTAGGACAATGTTTCAGCGATTGATTGGCATTAAACAGAGCTTTCTCATAGTTTTCTTCTCTTAAATAAACTTCCGCTATATTATTGTATATTATTGCTAGATCTTCTGATTGTTCATGAGTATATTGTGATTGAATTTCTAATGCTTTAGTAAAGTAAACCAATGCATCGACTAAATTTTCCTGTTCATAAAATGTAAATCCAATATTATAAAACGTTTTTGCGAATTTATAATCATTTAATGGTATATGATTACTTTGAACTTCAAGTGCTTTTCTATAATTAATCATGGCATCATGATATTCTTTGAGTTTTCTGTAAGTATGACCTATTTTATTATATGTATCGACTTGATCTAAATAATTTGTTTCGAAATATTTCATTTGTATATTAAGAACGATCTTGAAATATTTTAATGCTTCTTTATATTTTTGTTCATCAAAATAAATGGCTCCCATATTACTATAAGTTGTTACTTGATTGCGATAAAATCTTGTTAATAGATTTGAATGAATTTCAATTGTTTTTTCATAATATCTCAATGCTTCTCGATAGTTACGTTGACTTTGATAATTAAATCCTATAGACGAAAATATTATTGCTGTTTCAAGCTGATTTTCTGGTTTTAAAGGAATTTGTAATGCTTTTTCAAAATTTTTCATTGATTCTAAATAATTACTTTGTTTACTATAAGCTAGTCCTAAGCAGTTGTATGTTATATGTATTTCATTCTCTGTTTGAGGTAACATTTTCAATTGAATGTTAAGCGCTTTTTCATAGTTTTCGATTGTAAAATAAATTTCTCCAATAGCATCATAAGTCGATTGAAGATCAGAATGATCATCTTTATATAGTGTTAACATAATTTCGAGAGAATCTTCATAGTATTTCAATGCTTCACTATGTTTATTTAATTTTAAGTAAATTGTGCCATAAGTAACATAGGTTGTAGCTAAATCAGGATGTTTCTTGGGTAATAATTTTGATTGTATATCATGTGTTCTTTTACAATATTCAAGTGCTTTGTCATAATTTTCTTTGTCACAATAAATTGCTGCAATACTATTGAATAATTTTGCAAGATCTACATGATTTTCTGAAAGAAATTTTGATTGTATATCAATTGCTTCTTTAAAATAATCAAATGCTTTATCAAATTGACCAATTTTATAATAAATATCTCCAATATTGTGATCAACAGATGCAACATTGGGATGATCTTTTCCTAAGTTATTTAAATATACTTCACGAGCTTTTTCATAATTATTCAATGCTTCACCATAATGACGTTTATTTCTATATAATAAAGCAATATTATTATATGTTGTTCCAATTTTATCATGATTCGATGGTAAAAATTTGATCTCAAGTTCTAATGCCTTCCTATAATGGGATAATGCTTCGTCATTATTATCTAATTCGGTATAAAGCAATGCAATATTATTATATATTGCAGCTAGTTTTGGATCTGAATCATCTAAGGATAGTTTAATTTCTAGTATTTTTTTATAGTTTTCTAATGAATTTCTACAATCAGCTTTATGTCTTTATATCATTGCAAGCTTATTGTATGTTGAAATCATAACTTGACTATTTGATGATACATATTTCAATTTAATATATTGTGCTTTTTTCAAATATTCTGTTCCTTCATCATGTTTACTTAATTTATTGTTTAATAATCTAATAGAATCATATGTTAGAGTAAGATAAATGTGAGGATTCGGCTGTAAATCAGTTGCTATAGAGAGGGCTTTGTCATAAAATTCTGATGCCGTAAAGTAATTGCCTCTATTTAAATAAGCATCTCCTATATTAATATAAATTAATAATATATAATCATGAATTGGTGGTAATTGTCCAAGTAAAATTTTGTTATATTTTTCAGCTCTGTTATAATCGCTCATAAAAAACAGAGTGGTACCTAAATGAGCGATTGTGGGTTTTTCACCAATTATTTCCTCTAAATTATTCATAACATATTGTAGTTCAACATTTGTTTGGTTCTCTAATGATAATTCAACAGATCAGAATGTATCAGTAACTTGTTCAACAAGATCAACTCGAAATACAGTACCAATAGTAAATAAGATTTCTTCTTCTTGACTAAAATTGCTCATATCTTGAATGGTAGCAAATACATGATCCTTATCAATTGAATTATTGATTTTAATTGTAAAAACAATCTTCGAATAATTAAATATCTCACTATCGACAAATTCTTCGGCAATCACATAGGTTTTACTTGTTGAAAAAAAACTATTTACCGAAATAAGACCATTTTGATTTTCTTCTAATATTCTAATTTCATTTACGGACATTTGTTGCGCACGATAGACTTGTTAGCTGATTCGAGCATTGACAATGTAATTGGCTCAATTGATAATGAAGATCGGTAATAAAAAACCGAAATTTGTATACAATATCAATATTTTCTGTACGAAGTGCTCGATTTAATAAACGATAAACAAAACTATCTTGACAATACCATTCAACAGCTTTATTCGATTATATTCTGAAGAAAACTTTTCGATTTGTTCTGTTCTACTTGTATTACCTTTATATTGTTTTCGACATGCATTTATCATTTCATCCTTAGCATGTTCATTATGTTTCAAATGAATCAAAATTCCAATTAATAATTGAAACCACATAAAAGATGTACTTTGTCTATTTAAATCTGTAATAGATTTTTGTTTTGCATTTTCGCTCAATACACTTATTGGTAAAAAATTTCGTAGCTGTAAATTAACATCTGATATTAACTTAGAATACAGTAAATTTTTTTCATTGAAAACACCTTGTATTTTAGCTTTATATTGATTTGACCATACTTCATGTTTTGTTTTATCATAACAAAATATATAAATTGATACAATTTTCGGTGATTGATATATGTCTGGTATAATTTTCTCACCTAATGGACCCGAAACAATAAAAACAATTTTTTCATCTGTTCCAATGGAATTAATATAATTTATACATTTTTCAATATTATCATATGCATGTAAGTCATTAATAATAGAACGTAATGCATTCATCATTTCTAAACAGTCATCAGTCTTATGAATATTAGAATCAAGCCATATAATAGACATTTCTTCGAGATTTTCATCATTAATCAAATGAAATTCTTCTGTTAAAGAAAAATTTAATTGTCGTATAGAACAGTTGGTATCGGTAGTTGGTGTTTCAGTCATAATTCAAAATCTTCACGCGAACCACATTGTCTTGCTATCTACAAATAAGAATTAGATACTTTCGATTAATCAAGCGAACTTAAACGTTACTAAACTGATTCAGTCAGCTTAATAAATTTGAAGAAAAAAAAAATGCTATCGCCAACTATCTATATGTACGAAAACGTACGAGGAAATCTCATCTTTGGTTCATAAATAGGGCATAATGAAAGTAATTGAGACTTCATTAGCTCCATGCCTGCGTTCTTTGTACCCATAGCCATAACTATTTCGTTCAATTTTGACGATAGTAAGTCTTAAAACTGCTCAACGGTTTCATAAAATTGGTACTATTAGTAATGACTATGTATTGCGAAATCCACTAAAGCAACTATCTCATTATTTCAAGTACTCAGTAGATCTATATACTCGTTATAACATGTCGAATTTCTAAGATGACTCGATTATGAAAACTTATCTTCCGATATATTACGGTTTTTTGAAAACTAAATACTTTCCAAAATTTTGATTCATTTCAATGTAACTCTTTAGGATAATCTGATGAATGTAACGCTTAACTCACTGCTATGTCGAAATGGGCACAATTTGAACAACCTATCATATGTATAAAACAGAGTAGAAACCCTCTGGTATATTTTGGATCCTAAGAATACACAGATTCCACAATTTTGAAAAGTATTGGCATTATCTTATAGTACAAGCTAATTGAAATTTTACGACTAAAAAATTGCTTGTGAAATTTTCAGTGTACCATGTAAAGATGCTAATGGTAAACTATAAATAATCGGAAGAAAAACTATTTCATTGTCGAACTTTTACGTTTGTTTTAGAATGCTTTCTCATCTTACACAATTCTAAATCAGCACTTCACCAATACCAACCATTCTCCATAATAAACTAGTTTTGAGATATTTTTGTTGACAAAACCGACGAGAGTGCACACAACGTGACTCCTTTATCGGTCGGATACTCAGATACGAACCAGATAGCTGAAAGGTATTCGAGGAGAAAGTGAGATAATTATATTTAAAACATACAAAACCCTACTGCATAAATAGAGTGTAAATGTGGGTGGGTGTGTGGGTATGGGTGAGGTGTAGGGTGTGGCTTTCATTCTTCTTTGCATCTTATCCATGCCCTCATTTGAAATCATTGCTGGACGAAGAAGTTAGTGAATATAGAATTAGAAACGAACCCTTGATTCAATTTAGAACCAGATGATATTCCTAAACAGGTCGATAGTATGACGAAAGAACTCATGCTTCTCTCATCTGTCTATGCAATATATTTAGATTGTGTCAGACTTGTTTGAAAATGTTAAATAAACATATCTAGAATTCACTTCTATCACATTATCAGTAAAATCAAATACATTTTGAAAAATTTATTTGTACTATTATTAGCACTACTTGCATTATTTATTTATGATTCAACTGATCCA